GTTTCTGCTGTTCAAGATTGGCCCAAACCAGAAAACTGTAAGCAACTACAAAGGTTTTTAGGATTTGCCAATTTTTAGCATCGTTTCATAAAGAAATACAACTCCATTGCTGCTCCCCTCCATGCTCTAACCTCCACAAAGGAGAGGTTTTTGTGGTCTGATAAAGCCAACAAAGCTTTCACCCTTCTCAGGGACCTGTTCACGTCCGCCCCTGTTCTCCACTCCCCTGATCCCACTCAACAGTTCATTGTTGAGGTTGACACCTCTAATACTGGGGTGGGTGCCGTACTGAGTCACCAGTCTCCCTCTGATGCTAAGATCCATCCCTCTGCATTTTTTTCCACGTTTGTCTGCCTCTGAGAGGAATTATGACGTTAGTGACAGAGAGTTGTTGGCAGTCAAACTAGCATTAGAGGAGTGGCGTCATTGGCTGGAGGGAGCAATGCATCCATTTATCAAATGGACGGACCATAAGAATTTTGAGTACCTAAAGACTGCCAAGAGGCTTAACCCTAGACAGGCCAGATGGGCTCTGTTTTTCAGTCGTTTCAACTTCTCCTTATCTTTCAGACCCGGGTCCAAGAATGCAAAACCTGATGCTCTTTCTCGGCTACATGAGCCAGCTGGGGAGGAACAGACCGGTGGTGAGGTTTTCATTCTTCCTCAGTCTGTAAGGTTGGGGGTCACTCGTTTGGATCTGGAGAGGAGGATTGAGGAGGCCTACCATGACCATCCTGTTCCCAAGGATTGTCCTACTAATCATTTGTTTGTCCCAGATCACCTTGTCTCAGAGGTACTGACCTTCTGTCATTCATCTCGTCTGTTTTGCCACCCAGGAATTAGCAGGACACTGTCAGTGGTTTGGAGCAGTTTTTGGTGGAAGAACTTGGTCCAGGATGTCAAAGATTTTGTTACCTCCTGTCAAACATGTGCTCAAGTCAAACCCTCCAGGAGGCCACCATCTGGGCTACTCCGACCACTTCCTATTCCCCATAGACCATGGGCGTGCATTGCAATGGACTTAGTCACAGGTTTGCCAGAATCCAACTCATTCACTGTCTTGCTTACTATAATTGATCGTTTTTCCAAGATGACTCACTTTGTTCCCCTCAAGAAGCTCCCCTCTGCTAAAGAGTTAAGCTCAGTTCTGGCCCGTGAAGTTTTTCGTCTTCATGGCCTACCATGTGACATTGTCTCGGACAGGGGTCCACAATTTGTCTCCCAGTTCTGGGGAGAGTTCTGCAGTCTGCTTGGCATCAATCTCAGTCTTTCCTCTGGTTTTCATCCCCAGACTGATGGTCAGACAGAAAGAGCTAATCAGGAGATTGAGACCAAACTCAGAGCTCTCTGTCAGCAAGATCCCTCTAAGTGGTCTGAGAACTTGCCATGGATCAAATTTGTCCTTAACTGCTTACCATCTTGTGCCACTGGTCTGTCTCCCTTCTATGTGGTATATGGCTACCAACCCCCTGTCTTTTCTGTACAGGAGAAGGAGGCCACTGTCCCCTCTGCTCACACCATGGTGCAGCGATGTCATCGTGTCTGGAAGAGAGCCCGCAGGACCCTCAAGTCTGTCACAGCAGTCTACTCTCGCTGTGCCAACCGTCACCGTGTCCCGGCCCCAGCATACCAGGAGGGGCAGAGGGTATGGCTCTCCACCAGAGACCTCCCTCTCAAGGTGGAGAACCGTAAGCTGGCTCCTAGGTTCATTGGTCCATTTCCCATTGCAAAGATTATCAATCCTGTTGCTGTTGCTTACGCCTCCCACGTGCCCTGCGCATCACATTTCATGTGTCACGGGTCAAACAATTCAAGTCATGCCGTTTCATTCCCCCCTCCAGACCCCCTCCTCCCACCCAGCTCCTCGATGGAGACCCTGTTTATGCGGTGCAATGTCTCCCTCAGTCCATAAGATGGGGTAGAGGTCTCCGCTATCTCGTTGATTGGGAGGGTTATGGACCGGAGGAGCGCTCCTGGGTTCCTGCCCGACATATTCTAGATAAATCACTCATTTGTGAATTTCACAGAGCACATCCAGATCTACCTGGTGGTCCGTCAGGTGCCGGACATTAAGGAGGAGGTACTGTCATGATTTATATTTTCTGGACTGTTCATGTCATGTTTCCTTTTTTTTGTTGCTCTCCCTCAACTCCTATCACTTAACACAGCTCACCAGTGTCTGCCTAATTATCTCAAGCTGTTTAAAAGCCTCTCTCAGCCACTGCACCAGTGCCAGAATATCTGAAGCTTTCAGCCAAAGAGATCCAGCCTCTTCAAGCCAAACCAAGCTCTTTAAAGAACCTGACCCATTTCTGCCTTTCTGAACCCCTGTTTATGCCTGATTCTTGTCTGCCAACGTTTGCTCTCTGATCTCAAGGTTTTGACCCCCGCCTGGCTTTTTACTTTGCCCTGCCTGCTCCTCTGCCTGACAAGTTGTTGCTCTCGGATCTTATGGTTTGACCCCTGCCTGGCCCTCTGGATTCTGCTCAGCCTGCTGATTTCTCTAACCCGTTTGTTCTGTGAAGACCTCATCATCTATCTGGACCATTTGCTTGGACCGTGCTCTTCCTGGGATGTCCTAATCCTTGACAGATCTGCAAATCAATCCCTGAGGTCCAGTGTCCAGAGCTGCAGTCCATTTAAAATAAAGCCTGTAAATGCTTTTTTTGTGTGTTGGTAGCATTTCTGGGTCTTTAGTTTACTTAATCATTACAGTACTGTTAACATCACTACTTACTGGAGTTTTCCAAAAACATTACAGTATCCAGTCTGAGGCTGGTCTTTTTTGATGTTCTCCGGAAATTGTTATAATTTACTAAATACCGGTAGTTGCACCAGTTTTAAGTTCGGTTCATCAGAATAATTGGGGTTGAATACTAATAGATGCCACACTTTTGATGCTTTTACATGTAAAAGTTTCTTCTTACTTCCACTTTACAATTCTGCTCTACTTTGTGTTGGTCTGTCACGTAAAACCCAAAGCACTTTGAATTTTGTGGTTGAAAATTGACAAAATGTGAAAACAGAGCCTTGTCAGCAGAATGTAGAAATAATCCCAATTAGAACGTTCCTGGAGAAACTTTGACGGGGGCTGCCAGGCTGGTGCTGATTTAATTTCTTGATTTAATTGTAAAAGAAGTTTGAGTTTGCTATCAGCTACCACTATACAAAATTTCAGCTGAATAGCTCTAAAAATTGCAGAGTTATGGTATTTTTTCTCTTTTAGATAAGGTGGTCATTTTTGGATTTTTGAATTTTCCTTCAGACACTATTAGGGATCATTCTCAGCTACCAATTTGCCAAGTTTCAGCTGAATAGCTCTAAAAATGGCCGAGTTATGGTGTTTTTTCTCTTCTAGCTAAGGCGGCCATCTTGTATTTTTGATTTGGATTCCATATATGATAGTGCATGTTCTCAGCTACAACGTCACCAAATTTCAGCTCTCTATGTATAAAAATGGCTGAGTTAAAGCAATTTGAAAATAGCTTTGGTGGCCATCTTGGATTTTTTTTTATTTTGATACAGCATTTGATAGGAAACATTCTCAGCTATCACCACACCAAGTTTCAGCTCAATATCACTAAAATTGACCTATTTATAGTATTTTTTCTTTTTCGCTTTGTCGGCGGCCATCTTGGATTTTTGATTTTCAAAAGCTACTTCACCTAACTTGCATGTTGAACCAAAATGGCCACTTCACCTAACTTGCATGTTGAAACAAAATGGCCACTTCACCTAACTTGCATGTTGAAACAAAATGGCCGCTTCACCTAATTTGCATGTTGAATCAAATTGGCCGCTTCGCCTAACTTGCATATTGAATCAAAATGGCCGCTTCACCTACCTTGCATGTTTAACCAAAATGGCTTCACAAGGCAATGCTCTGCCTTGTATGCTGAACCAAAATGGCTCACAGCGTTATTCATTTTGCTGTAATTTATGTATGCTGGGGTAGCTATGGCAGCCATCTTGAATCAAAATGGCTCCAAACGTTAATCAGCTGTAGAGATACGTCTGATGATTACTTTCTGTGAGTTTCAAACAAATCCAACAGAGTTTCTGTTTTGTAGCTCAATAACTCAGAATGACCGAGTTATAGTCAATTTTGTGTATGCTGAGGTAGCTATGGCAGCCATCTTGAATCAAAATAGCTCCAAACATTCATCAGTTCTAGAGATAAGTCTGATGATGACTTTCTGTGAGTTTCAAACAAATCCAACAACGATTTTATGTTTTGTAGCTTAATAACTCAAAGAATGACTGAGTTATAGTCAATTTTATGTATGCTGAGGTAGCTATGGCAGCCATCTTGAATCAAAATAGCAAGTTATATTTCTGAAGCAAGGCAATGCAGGCTAATTAGCTATCTTAGGCTAATTAGCTACCATAGGACTATTAGGATAATTAACATGCAATACACTGCCTTGCATGTTGAACCAAAATGGCTCCCCACGTTACTCAGTTTCTTTGAAAAGTCTTCTCCCATTCCTTTCCTATGAGAAATTTGGCATTTTTATTAGCAAAATACATCGCCATGGTAACTCCAATTGCCAATAAAAGTAATAGCACACATCTCGGAGTTGAGCCGGTTGTTTTGATATAACTTTTGTAAGGGTCCACATTGCGGTTCGGGACGCATTAACGGAGACGGAATAATAATAAATAAATTCAAAAAGCGTTCAATACAAAAACAACTGGACTTTAAAAGTCCAGTTGTTTTTGTATTGAACACTTTTTGAATTCATCATGTCCTGGATGACTGAGAATCTTCACCAGAATAATAAATAAAGAAATAAAGAAACCCTTATTGGGTGTAGAATAATAGGTGGCTTCCATGCATTTGCATGGGAAGCAGTGCATTGTGAAGCAATGCACTGCTTTCCTATGCATTGCAATGGCAGCCCCCAATAAGAGAATCAAGGTGGTGTCTAATAAGAAACATCTTTAGTTTTAAATGCTTTCATTATTTTGGGCTTATACCCAAGTCACTGACAACTCACCGATTTGTCCTCTTTGACCTCTGGTTCTTTCTGTTTGGTCTCCTTCTCTGAGTCTCTGACAAGTTGTTTGAGGATGCCTCCAGGTAGAACAGACAGAGGCTGTGGAGGGACGGTCACAGCCACAGGCTTCTTCTCTTCCTTTATCTGCAGTGGTGATGATGAATGAAATAAGACCCTTTTCAACAAAGTCCCTCACACAAGTTACACTTGTTTTACACAACATGCTGAGGAGGTAGTTTCATTCAACAAAGCAAAACACCGCTGTCCCCCCATCGCTGAGGGATTTAAATAGTGAATGTTTTCAAGATGAGTGTTTTTCAGGACTGGATGCAACTAAAAAATGTTTATGGTACAAGATATCAAAGTTGGTAGAAGTTAAACTGTGTATAACAGAAGTATGTATTTTATTATTTATTTATTTTTGCTGGGCAGCATGGTGGCGCAACTGGTAGAGCTGCTGCCTCTCAGCGAGAAGGTCCTTGGTTCAAACCCCGGTCCAGGGGCCTTTCTGGGTGGAGTTTGCATGTTCTCTCTGTGCATGCGTGGGTTTTCTCTGGGTGCTCCGGTTTCCTCCCACAGACCAAAAACATGCATGTTAGGCTGATTGGTAACTCTAAATTGTCCCAAGGTGTGAGTGAGAGAGTGAATGGTTGTTTGTCTCGTTTGTCTCTATGTGGCCCTGTGATGGACTTGCGACCCGTCCAGGGTGTACCCCGTCCCTCGCACAGTGACTGCTGGACATGGGCACCAGCGACCCCCGTGACCCAAAATGGAATAAGCGGGTAAAGATAATGGATGGATGGATGGATTTATTTTTGCTTGTCTGAGGATGCACAATGTGATAGATCCTAGTGAGTGGAGGGAACTGTAAGAGTATTTATTATGTTATCATTTTAAACTGTTTCATGATTTCTGCACTTCTGTGCATACAAAGCAAAGAAGTTTCTGGAGAACTATCAGTCCACGTCTGAGCTGATAGGAATTCTCTGTACTTACACAAGATGTTTTTACTTTGAATTGTTTGTTCTTTTGTAAAACCAGAAATGTCAAGGCTATACATATCAGCTCATATCCCATCAATCTTACACTGTCATTGTTCCTCTTAAGCATTTAATCAAAATGTTCTAAGATCATCTTGCTCTCGTTGTAATCTGCCTAATCAAGATGTCCAGTCTTTTCCTCCTTCCTGTGTGAACAATAAAAAGGCGAGCAGATGTGAAAAACTTTGGGAGTTCACAGAAACCAGTCCTAGTGTTGTAACTGTGAATTTCCCCCTTTTTGCAAAAAGCTTAGCTGAAAATCTTACTCTGGTGTGTGGTTCTTTATTTTTACAGGTACGGGAGAAATACCTAACATTTCCTGGTGCCCTGTGACCCGGATATCCAACATACCTGTTTGTTGCGGGAGTGGAGACGGACTCACTGAATGCCCGTGCACGGCCCGATCAATCTAGTGATCGGAGACAAAGCCCCAGGAGGTGTTGTTCCTCTTCAGACCAGTGATTAATAGGTCCACATCCATCTTTCAGTGACAGATTGACGGAATCCGAACCCAAGTCGAACCACAAGGACGGAGTGAGTAAAACAAAAGTTTGTAAAAATGTTTTGTTTTTGGAAAGGGAGAGTATTTTTAGAGCCCTCTCCCTGGATGAGTTACAGTCTTTAACAGAGCCAGACTCACGTTGGCAGGGACAAATAAGGTTTTTAAACCTAAAGTAAAACAGTAAAACAAAAGAATTCTTGCTTTAGGAAGGGGAAAGTATTTTTAGAACCCTCTCCCTGGATGAGTTTAAGATTTTTAACAAAACCTGACTCGTGTTGGCAGGGAAAGAAGTGAAAAATAGTTTTAAAACTGAAAGTAAAAACTCGAGTAACAGGAAGGAAAGATATATTTAGTGTTCTCTTTCTGGATGAGTCAAGACCTTTAACTTCTAAGTGAGACTCTTGTTGGCAGGGACAAAAAGAGACGTCTGTTTGTGTGTAAATATTTGTGCATGAATGAGGGGAAGACTGAATACTGTTGAACGATCTGGAAATCTAGCGGTGCTAACATAAAGATCGTGAAACATATTTATTTATCCCCTATTAGGACCTTTTTAGGTGAAGTGGTCTTATATGAATCTAAATATTTCTGCTTTCGGGTTTAGAGCCCTAAGTGAAGGACCGGAGCGGTTGATAGAAAAATCGGCCTAGAAGCCTGTCCTTCAGAAAGTACTAAGAGGCCCTTTGGAGGAATTTTCATTTAAGCCACTCACACATCTATTAATAAAACCACAACGCAAAGAGTACTTTAAATAATATGGGAAACCATGAGAATAAGTCCTTTTCAGAGGCAGAGATAAAAGATGTTAAATTTGAGTCAAAAAACACTGATTCAACCAAATATTTAGAAAAATGGAAAAAACAGTATAAAATTGAGCACACACTAAAACCAGACACCTGGAACATGATGATAACAATACTACAAGACAAAGAAGCAATGAATAAAGGAAAAAAAGAAAGAAAAAATAGAAGACCAACTAAAATATGCTAAATTATGACAAACAAAGTCCCACTTAAGAAGAGAACAGATTAATAAAGCTAAAGCAGAGTGAAAGACTAAACAAGAAACAAAAACTAAACAAGAAACAAAAACTGATGCTTTGTTTGTCAGACCAGAAGATAATGAGACCATGACTGTAGTACAACATCCTGCTATAATCCACAATCCTGATAACGCTGCAGGTGCCACAAGTAGAGCCCCCTCCACCCAAATGTACGCCTGCTCTATACCCCGCATTAAATGAAGCAACTTTAAAAGTTGAAACAGAAGACACAAAACCTGTAGGTGTTGTAACCCGCTCTTATGATCATAAGCAAATTAAACCTGACAAAGATACCAAAAGAAAGAAGCTCTCTCAATCAGCAGACACATATCCTATAATACAGGTTCCAAACCCTGATGTGGGAGATGGAAACAACAGGCTTGTATTTGTTTTTAGACCATGGACATTAGCAGTGTAGTGGTGTCAGGGCCAGCTTGGCTGCAAATCCACTACAATTATTTAAATATAACGAGTTCTCTCTTTTTCGAGTTAAATTTCTGCCATGTGACGAGATAACTGTGAGGATTGTTTAAATCAGTGACATGAGACATTAATTTCCTTTGACCCATCAGAATAAATGTGGTCATTTAGTGAACAGAATCAAAATTTAACATCAAAACATGTACACGTGATTAGCTGATCTGGTTCTGATTAATAAAACATGGCACGCTTTACTAATAAGACAACAAGACATTTCTGAAGGCATTTAGATTACTGGCAAAATAGAAGAGTTTTAAAGGAAGGAATGAAGAGAAAAGATGGGTAAAAGGGGGTGTCAGGATGGCACGCTCCCTTCAACACCAGTTCAAACCTCCGGTACACTTGGAGCGTCACGACTCGTTACCTTTGCAGAAATTAATCAGCTCCGGTGTCGGGTCCATTTCAACGCTACCTTCCAGTATCTCCGGTAAGAGCGACTGGCCATCGTCAGGAGTCGTGTCGTTTACTCCGTTAAACAAACACGCTCATCTCCCGGGTGGATACCTGGCAAGCTGTGAGTCCGTCAGAGGTTCCACTCAGGAGTGGAAGACTCCATCAAAGACTCAGAAGACTCACCAGACTTGAAGCCTAGAAGTTCCAGGAAGTGTGGACTTTTAAAGAGTTCTCACTTCCGGTCACTTCAGGACTTCCTGATTGGTTGAAACAACCAACAGGGGGTGGTTCTAGTGATGTCAGAGGGTCACTACAAGTCAAGAGGACAGCAGGAATGTTTTAGGAACTTTTAGTACAGACAGGAGAAATGTTTTGAAGAAGTTAGAGCAAGGAGGTGCCAGTGATTCTCTTTTTACCGTCTGCTAGGTTTAAAAACAATACACTTCGTTCTTTGTTCTAGAATTGCGCCGCTCAAGGTGGCTGCATGTTGGAGTAGCTCTGTTACTTTCATTCTGAGATGTTACTTTTGATAACTTTAATTCCTCTTTTTTCTGGATATAAATCACTTTTTTTGGATGATTATTTCCTCTGGTGTCGGATGCTGTGCAGCTAGAAGGATTTTTACAGAAATATCTTTGCTTTTGGACATTTGTTATGATGCGTAACCATAACAACAAGTTTTTTTACAACCGGGAGCAGCTGATTAACATCTCCAAATCTCAAATAATATCTCAACTACAGCCTCAAATCCCAAATGAGTTGAAAAGGAGGCATCATGGATGCAGAGCAGGAGCAAAGAAGAGGGAGAAAAAGAGAAGAATACATTTTAAACCATCTCTTCCATCGATCATGATGGGCAATGTGAGATCGCTGGGAAACAAGTTGGATGAACTTCAAGCCCTAACAAGGACCCATCCAGAGTATCAGGAATGCAGTGTTATGTGTTTCACTGAGACATGGTTGCAGGATCACATCCCCAACTCCAGCGTTTCCTTGCCAGGCTTTCTGACCATACGAGCAGATAGAGATTTAAAGAGGAGTGGCAAAAGGAAAGGAGGTGGGTTGGCAGTGCTTGTGAACAACAGATGGTGTAATCCTGGACATGTTATTGTGAAGTGTCATCTCTGCAGTCCAGATATTGAACTGTTAGCCCTAAGTTGTCGTCCATATTATTTGCCAAGAGAGTTCACCAGTGTTATTTTGGCAACTGTTTACATTCAACCCAATGCTGTTGCCGAGACTGCGTGTGATGTCATCAGCTCCGAGGTTGCTAAGCTACAAACACAACACCCTAGTGCGTTTGTTGCAATATCTGGGGATTTTAATCATGCCTCTCTCTCTGCTACACTTCTGACATTCGAACAGTTTGTCAGCTGCTCTACCAGAGAAAACAAAACGCTGGATTTGTTTTATGCAAATGTAAAGGATTCATACATCGCTAAAGCAAGACCCCCCTCTGGGCAAATCAGATCACAATCTTGTGTATCTCTGCTCAAAATATAAACCCCTTGTTTAGAGGCAACCTACAATAAAGAGAACAGTGAGAAAATGGTCAATGGAAGCTGAAGAAGCCCTGCGGGGTTGTTTTGACGCTACAGACTGGGATGCACTGTGCCAACCACATGGAGAGGACATCAATGTCATGACTGAGTGTGTGACCGACTATATAAACTTCTGTGTAAACAAC